CCCGAGAAGTTGACCGATTGTTGCAGGTTCCTGGATTGAACTTGCAGGACAACCAAGTGCTGTACATCTATTCCCGCGCGTTGCCTGAGCCCATCCGGGGACATTTAGTCACCGAAGCGAAGTCCGGTAAGTACAACTACAGGCAATTTCGTGACTTCGCCCTGCAAAGGGAACAGATGACTTCTCAAGTCAAGAATTCCTATGCAGCGGTAGTCAAGTCTGGAGGAGGAGGAGGAAGACAGTACAATGGGAAACGAGTTCTCTGGCGACAGAAGCGCCATGACCACACCCTTGTTGTCTTTGATGACGACACAGTGGAAAAGTGGCCGAACGAGGAGAATGATAACAACAATGACTCCGGGAAGGGGGAAGTCACTGTGTTGTGGCCAATAAGGGAGGACCACCCAGGACAGGAGGGAAGAAACAAAGAGCGTTTCCGTGGCACCCTGGCATTGCCGACGGGAAGCCATGGGTAGAAATGGGTATGAATAGAAAGACTTGGCAGGAGCGCATGGACAATGCGCAATGTCTCAAGTGCGGCACAACGGGACATGTGATCGCCTACTGCCCTCAGATCGGGAACCCAAAAGCGAACAGCCAGTAGGAGTAGCATCTGCTCCTACTGAGATTAAGGGTAAGAACGAACAGACAGGTAAGGCGCCTACGACCCCTTCCTACCCTTCTTCTCAAATGGCAGAGGATGATTCTTCCTTAGCCCATCATCCAGATCGCCCTGATATTGTCTTATGTTTTGTCTCTCTGGATGACTCCCTTGATGAGCTAGGTACACTACGTGGCTCATGGGCTCGAAAGGCGAAGACTAAGGGCGAGCTGTTGTTTGCAGATGTTGAGATCGCACGAACACGAGTTGGTGCGATGTTAGACCCAGGATCAACGAGATCCTACATCTCCGAGAAGGCAATCCGTAAGTTGCATCTCGGCATGAAGGTAAAAGACTTGTCTCGACCTATAACGGCTATGTTAGCAGACAAGAGTACGATCACTGTCTCTCAGTTTGTTGATCGTATTAAGTGTCAGTTCCGAACGAGGGAAGGAAAGAAGATTGTGCATGAACTATCCTTCCTCATAGAAAAGAATTTACCCTATGATATCATTCTGGGTATGGATTGGCACGAAGAAGCCAACCCGGACATTGATTTCAAAAACAAGATTGTGCAACTTAAAGATGCGCAATCAGAAATGAAACCAATTAAATTATATCACAAGTGTGGCTCTGACTCAAGTCTATCCTTTTGCTGTATGAGTTATCCAACTTTCCGTTCGATGGTTTCTAAGAAAAAGTTGGAATAGGAAGTCATGTTGGTACTGGTAAAGAAAGCCGGTGAGTCTTCTTCTTCCTGTCCTCCGACGATTGAAAGTCTTCTCTCTGAATATAAGGATCTGCAAAAATAACCCACCGGAATTATTGAGCGTACTATAAAGCATACTATTGAGATTATTCCGGGTASTAAAATTCCCAAGGGCCCTATCTATCGAATGTCTTCTAGGGAACTTGAGGAGTTAAAGAAGCAACTGCAGGACCTTACTGACAARGGATGGATTCGCCCTAGTTCATCTCCTTATGGAACACCTATTTTGTTTGTGCCCAAAAAGGAAGGTGATTGCGTCTATGTATTGATTATCGAGGGTTGAATGCCGTCACTGTCAAGAATGCCGAACCACTCCCTCGCATCGAAGATTTACTTGACCAACTACAGGGATGCAAGTACTTCAGTAAAATTGATCTGAAGTCTGGGCACCATCAGATCGAGGTAGAGCCCGCGGATCAACACAAGACTGCTTTTCGGACTAGGTATGGCCATTACGAGTTTATGGTAATGCCCTTCGGATTGACTAATGCTCCTGCTACATTTCAACGGTCAATGAACGAGTTGTTTCGTCAATGGTTGGATCAGTTCGTCATCGTCTATCTGGATGGCATTCTCATATATAGTAAAACACTAGAAGAACACGAGAAACATCTTCGTCTGGTTTTGAGTTAGTTGCGAGAAGGCAACTTCAAAATCAACCCGAAGAAGTTTGAGTTCGCTAAGTCTGAAGTTTTATACTTAGGACATATAGTGAACCAAGATGGCCTTAGGCCTGAAGAAAAGAAAATATTTACAATTAGAGACTGGCCACAACCTAAGTCTGTAACTGAGTTACGATCTTTTCTTGGCTTGGCAAGCTACTATAGAAAGTTTGTCAGGAACTTCTCATTGATCGCTGCACCAATGAGAAGATTGCTAAAGAAAGGAACAATCTGGTTGTGGGATAAGGATTGTGAGTCCTCATTCGAAAAGGTAAAGTACGCTCTGACTCACTACCGTGTTCTGAAAATTGCTGATCCATCTCTTCCCTTTATCGTCACAACTGATGCAAGTCAGTATGGGATTGGCGCAATTCTTCAACAGAATGACGGCAATGGCTACAGACCGATTGAGTTTATGTCTGCATGATTGCCATCTGAAAAGGTTGCCAATTCTACCTATGAAAGGGAATTGTATGCGTTAGTTTGTGCCTTAGACACCTGGAAACACTATCTATTAGGGAGACACTTCACTGTGTATCCAGACCACTCTACCCTGAAGTGGATAAAGACACAGCCTAGGCTCTCAAATAAGCTAGTACGATGGTCTGCTTTCATCGATACTTTTGATTTTGAGTTGAACACTATCAAAGGTAAGTCTAACGTGGTTGCAGATGCATTGTCTAGAAGATGTGATTTCTTTGGTGCCATTGTCTCTTACCTAGACGTTGGGAATGATCTGAAAGATAAAATTCGTCAAGGCTATGTTAATGACCCGATATGGAAACCTATCATGGATGTCCTTGCGAAAGACCCGAGTCTACTTCCCAACTATAAGGTAATTGATGGTTTGCTTTTCTTGTTAGACCAAAGTGAACAACGATTGTGTATTCCTCACCAGGAAAAAATCAAAAGTCTACTTATAGGGGAATGTCACAACACTGAAGGTCATTTTGGTTTCAAGAAAACGTACGCTGAAGTTAGAGAACGCTTTGAATGGAAGGGATTGAAAGAGGATGTACTAACTTATGTTCGTACCTGTCTTGTGTGTCAGAGAAACAAACCCTCACATGAGAATCCACTTAGTCTTCTCAGACCATTACCAATTCTAAGCGAACCAAGTGAGTCGATCTCTATGGATTTTATGAGCCTCACCAAAAGTCGAAATGGCAATAGCCAGGTAATGGTACTTGTGGATCGTTTCTCTAAATATGCTATGTTCATTCCCTTGCCCGAAAAAGTCAGAACGGAACTTGTGATCCAAAAATTTCAGATGCGATGGGTAACTGAATATGGTTTCCCTTTATCCATTGTATCTGATAGAGATACCCGGTTCACAAGTATGCCATGGCAAAAGCTGATGGAGGCATACGGTACACGTTTGACCATGTCGTCAGGTAGACACCCTGAAACGAATGGGCAGAGTGAACAAATGAACCGTTTGTGCCAACAGCTTCTGCGCATGTATGTAAGACCCGATCAAATAGATTGGGATGAAAACTTACCTAATATAGCAAGTGCATATAATAGTAGTGTTCATACCTCTACAGGATGAACACCTAACGCACTGCATAAAGGGTGGAAACCTAAGCGTCCCATTGATGTATTGACGAGGGACCAGTTTCTTAGGTTACCTCCAGGGACCCGCGAATACGCAGTATTGTTTCAAGAAGACATTAAAAAGGTAAAGGAGAACTTAAAGAAAGCTCAGGACCGAATGATCGAACAAGCTAATAAGCATCGACGACCATCAACGTTCAGAGAAGGTGATTTGGTCTGGGTCAAGTCTAAAGAGTTTTCACCAGAAGAAAATGTCTCTCAGAAACTTCTGCCTGTCTATATTGGACCCTGGGAAGTTCTTAAAGTGATTGGACATGCAGAGGGACCATCTTACAGAATTGATATACCCCCTCATCTCAGGACCTATTCTGTCTTTCATGCGTCTCAGTTGTTACCTTATGTAGAAGGAGATGAATTTCCTCATAGACCATCTATGATACCGCCAGATATGGATGGTGGATATGAAGTGGACCGAATTATAGAACAAGGRTTCTTCTCTACAGGTGCACGAGGACGACCCCAGAAGCAATTCAAGATTCGTTTTAAGAGTCAGAAACCATCTGAGGACAGCTGGTTTAGTAGAAGAGAACTCCTTGAATCTGCTCCTGATATTGTCTCTGCTTATGAACGTGGGTTGAAGTCTTAAATATTTCTGCGATGGAACTCGAAATCTGGGTCGGCAGGAATGCAGTAACCCTGTTCGGCAGCAGACCGGGGCTCAGAACGTTGCCCCTGGTAAAGCACAGACTCAGTTGTCTGTGCTGGGCTATGTGACCGAGACATGCCCAGCCTGAGTCTGTCGAGGAGGCTGTGTGACCGAACGCAGCACAAAAGAAATTCAACAGTCAAAGTCAACTGTAGAGTCAAAGGTACCACGCCCAGGCCTATGGTCGGATACATTCACTTGTTGTGTGCAGGTACCCAGACAGCATTCAGGGCGGGAGGAATACAGTTTCTGGCCAATCTGGGCCCTCCTTCACATCGAGATCTGGACGGTGCAGTACTTCAGCACCCGGGGTCCAGACCCCGCATCCACGCTACTTAAGAATTGACTTCCTGGCTGGAGAACATTCAGTCTTGCGTGAATGCTGACTTCACGCGTGGACTTTGACGCTGTTGCTATGCTGCGACATTGCGACATTGGCTTGACGCCGGCTCTATGCTGGCAGAGGAGGACGGCAAGGCGCTGCTGGCTGGCAAGGTGCTGGCTGGCGATGGTCYTCTGGGCATGCTGACGTGGCAGCTRCCACGYGCCRTTGCTGAYGTGGYCGCTGCCACCTGTATATGATTGATGAYGTGGYGGGCTGCGWGATTGATGAGGCTGTTCTGATTCTTCGTCACTTCGGAAGGGGATCAAGACTGTGGTTATCGAGGATACGTACCTGGTTGATGACGATACTCTCCATTTGCTGATGTAGAYAGATTGACGTGCCACGTGGCACCTTGAGGAAGAACTTCAGACATTGTAWTCAGTCTATTGATTGATGAGGTGGCRAGGAGGAGGAGGAACCCGAAGTAGAAGTGRGCTGTTGTCTTCWTCYCTCTCCTTTGTYTATTCTCCCTCTCTCCTCCTTYGTCTGWGTATGATTCTCATCTCATTCTATCATCACACACATTTGCGATTGTTTGTCATTCATCAGCAGATCGATAATCATATGGACTGGTAATGTTGACGAGTATCATCACGTCTGGGCTCATTGCAAGTGTGTGGACCATCGGAAAGTGGAGATCTTTTCTTAAAAAAGAAAAAATGCGGGCATGTCATTACTGAGTTGGATGGCGTTCTTGTGTTTAGCCGTATATACGAGGAGTGTGTGGACCATCGTTGGACAGTCTTTGACGTGCGTGTTAAACCACCAGTACTTGGCCCAGCTATCGGCCGCGGAAAAAAATAGAGTAGAAACGTTTCTAGTTGGATGAATTTGGGCGCTCCTGTAGTGGCCCGTACGTTTCCTAAAATCACGTAGCGTTAGCGCTACGCGACTTTAGGAAGTACTGGTGGTTTAAGGAGTGGGAAGTAGAAGTTGAACATCAACAAAAGTGAGTTTCTAGAGCAAGGGGAGATCTGGAGTACCGCCAAAAGGCGAAGGAAGTTGAGGCTGTTCCCGAGCGACCAAGGCCACAGACAATGAAGGATGGGAGGTGATTGCTTGACGTGGACATCAATTACGACACGTTCATTGACGACGGTCGAGCTGCGACCACTGCACCTTTGAACTGCTTGAGATCTCTCGCTGAATCGTCGCTGATGTAAATAATCGAGTGTTCCAATTCTGTGAGAGGTTCCAGTCAAATGTGTGATGCTTCCGTTAAAGCACCTTTGTCGGTTCGGAAAATAGTGGGCCTCCGACTTTTTTTCAGGAGGCGGAAACGAAACGACATCTGCTGATCAGATTTATCAATGGCAGCCATTGTCGGAGTTCGGGACTAGGCTAAAACTCGTCGAAACCAGACGGCAAAGGTACTAGTGGTTTAAGTCTGTGTGAGTGTGGATCCGATGAAATTGATTGCGACCTGACATCTTCCTTTTTTTTTTGTTTTTTTTTATTATTCGCAACAGAAAATCCCGAAGATGCCCATTGGAAATGTTAGACGGGGAACCTGAAGCTCACCCGCATTCAGAGAGAAGTTAGAGAACCGAAGAGATGCACAGGACTTATCCTCAATCACAGAACAACCAACTTCGTAAATGTCTAACCAACCAATCAATCAGCTACCCAATCAACAAAGTAATTAACCCGCCACCTCAACAGACACTCTTTACTCAAATGTACGGCACTAGCCTTTAGGTAGACAACCCCACAATCGTGAGCAGCTGGGACATCTTAC